CTCACAAATTGAAATTCCAGGATTCTGTCAATGGTTATTACAACTATTTAGATATGCTTGCCATGCAGTTTAACTGTTCCACACCATACCAAGAGCTTTGGTATAGAAATACTTAAATACTTTAAGGGTTGTGAATTAGAGCAATTGATTTTTTTTATTATTCTTTTGGTACTTGGTGGATAAAGAACAAAAGAGAGAAAGAGAGCAGCTGAACATTAAATAAAGTATAATCCAAGAGGTGGGGTCTAAACGAAGGATTTCAACTGACACTGCAATGCCTGATTCACTGGCATGTCAAATGTCCCCCACTCCTGCCTGAACTCACACTATTTCTGTTATCATATTCTGGATTTCTTTCAGTCAGTTATATCACACTGTTTTTATAGTGCATTTTTTCTGCATTATATCTTTCAGTATGTGCTAAACTTGGGGTACAAATAAACCAATATGACTTACATATCAGAAAGCACCAACAGCAGGAGAGTGCTCTAAAAATAAAATGGGAGGAAACATCATATATTTTAAAGCAGCAGTAGACACCTCCTTTAATAGCAATACTTGGGAAGTTCTAGAGCAACAAAACCTTCTTTGTGCCTTACCTGAGAATGGGCCGCAGGGGTCGCCTTTCTTGCACAGCTACTCCAAACTCTCAGTGCCACAAACAAAAGTAGCACTGTGTGTGGCACCTAGCATGGAAGAAGGATCTTGAGACAGGCCTCGGAAATGCAGGAAAGCGGATCTCAGTGGCTGATTTTGAGGATTGGAAGCACAGCTTTTTGGAATCTCTGCAGGTATTCTATACAAGAATGGGAGGACAAAGTCTTATAAAAATCCTATGTCTTTGCCTGAAGTGAAGGATCTGAGACTGCTGTGATATAAAAACCATTCTGGAGGCCAACATGCAGAATGTCACAAAGAAATCCCAAGATGCTGTGTCTTAGGAGTTACAGATGCAGAAAGCAAATATTACTCAGGATCTAAATACAGCTCACCACCGGCTCATCTTGTCTGAGGATCATAAAAGTGTGAGATGGTGAGACAAAACTCCAGATTTGCCTGACAATTTGGAGAGATTTGACAGCAGCTACTTTGTGCTGGCTTGTGAGGAGTTTATGATGGGCCAGCATTGCTGGGATGTCTTGGTGGGAACTGGGAGAGAGGGCTGTGAGGGTTGCCAGAAAGTATATGGACAGAAAGAGCTTTGTTCACTTTAGCCCCAAAGGAGGCATCTGGGCTATGGGAAGTGGGGAGGCGTGTACAGGTGTGCCCACCACCCTCCTTACTTTCAGCTATTTTTGGACAGAGCTGACAAGGATCTCTCTGAACTATCCAAGAGGGGAGGTGGTGTTTCACAATGCTGGTACTGGAGCCCATCTCTATGTTCACAGGAGCCTTATTCTCCTTATTCTGCCATTCTTTCATGTGTTTAGGAAACCCTAACTCAGCCTCTCTCCTTAAAGCAGCTGAGCACAGGGTCCTTTGGCAGAGCAGGATGATTAATTTATGGGCCAAGAACACCTTCCCTGCCCCTACAAGGGCTCCAGGGCACAGTCCCTAAAATCTGCTCATTTAAAGGGTAGCTCCTGCTTTCCTCCTTCCCTTTCCCAAAGTTCTCCCTGAAACTGTGTTCTTGACATGTCAATAACATGTTGTAATGGAGAATCAGTCCAGGCCCCCTCAGGGATTGAAAAATTAACCTGAGGCAGCCAAGGTGAGCCATTTCAGCCAGGTATCACCTCAAGGAAAACCAGGTGCCGAGGCCACAGGAGTCTTGATAGCAATGGGGATGCAAAACAGGCAGGAATTGTCTAACGCATCCATGGGAAGCCTCCTCAAAGAAGGTCATGAAGCATCTAGAGCACATGAGAAAGAGTGGCTCCAGCCATCCATGAGGTCTGCAGGAATGGCTTGAATCATCCATTGAAAAAATGGAAGAAGTATGTCCTGAAGAAGCCAGTAGGGTATGAGAGGCTGGCTTGAAGCATCCATAAGGAATCTCCAAGAAAGAGGTCCCAAAACATCCCATTTAAGTGTGCAGAGGTTGCTTGAGGGATCCCTGAAAAGCATTGAAGAGAGGTCTTGAAACTTCCAGACTGAATGTGGGGAAATGGCTTCAAGTATCATTAAGAACCACATGGATGAAAGTCCAGAAGCAACGAGCCAGAATATACAGGAATGGTTTGAAGAATCCCTATAAAGCCTTGAAGGAAAATGTCCTGAAGAATCCAGAAAGGATGTGAGGGAGTGGCTTGAAGCATCGACAAAGTCTCTTCAAGAGGAAAATCCAAATGAATCCAGGCAAACCCTGCAGGAATTCCCAAAAGCATCAGTTATGCACCGTGGAGAGGAAGGTCCTGAGTCATCTAAACAAGATGTACAACAATGGCTTGACGAATCTATAAGAAGTATTGAGAAGGCGGTCTCCAAGCTCAAGGTGGAAAAATGGTTTGAATCATCCATGAAAGAACTTGAAGAGGAAGGATCTGACAGCTGCAAACAGAGCCTCCAGGAATGGCTAGAAGGATCCTTGAAAGATCTCAGAGTCATGCCCTGATGCAGCCAGAGAAGATGTGAAGGAATGGCTTAAGACATCTGTAATGAATCTCCAAGAGAAAGGTCCTGAAACATCCCAAATAAGCATGCAGGAATGGCTTAAAATGTCTATGCAGAGTCTTTGAGAGGAAGACCCTGAAGAACTTAAACTGGATGTGTCAGGATGGCATGCAGCAGCCACAAACCATCTCAAAGTGGATGATTGCAGACTAAATGTTCAGCAGGAAGTTCCTGAAGTATCCACGCAGGATGGGAAGGAACGGCTTGTAGGTTCCTTAGTAAACCTTGATGACATTTGGCCAGAGACAACTAGACAGGATGTGAGGAAGTGGCTGAAAGACTCCATTAAAAGTCTCCCCAAAGGATCCACAGAAGACATGCAGGCATTTCTAACTTCATCTCTAGCAAGCCTCAAATAGGATCCCAGGAGCACAATATGCAAAGGCTGTAAGTTCCCACATGGAAAGTGGAGCACCAAGATTCTCTAGGAAAACTAAAACATCAGACATCCAGAATGAGTATATATGCCAAAAGGCATGATGTCTCCACAACAGCACAAATCTTGGGATCTGAAGAAACTGAAAGAAATGCTGATCCTGAAAAGTCCACAAGATTTTATGCTCAAGGAAAACAGGTACATGAACAAGTCAAAGCAAACAGCTAGATTCATCTTCCGCGAAGGGTGGGCTAAATGATGAATTATGTTTTCTGTATTCCTACCTGTTTCTTATTTATTGTGGCAAAGAAGAAAGAAAGAACAGATTGGCAGAAGGGGCAGAAAGTGTATAGCCTGGGGTGGTAAAGTTGCTTCCAAGAACCAGTTTGTAGTCCAAATTGTGTTGTGGGGAAACAAATTCTGCAGCTGGAATAAATTATGTAATACATTAAGATTATTACATATTATTGTTGCATATACATATACCTACATACATATGAATAAGATTACATAACATGTGGTAGTTGCTCCTCCTCTTCACTGCAATTCAAGCTTGCAGTGCTCAAACAGTTGGTAAGATTTGGCAAGGCATAGCTTGAGGGAACAGGGTGCTGGGGGAAAAGAAGTGGGGGAGAGACTAACAAAGAGCAGCCGTGAAAGGATACAGTATTGTGCTGCAGTCCAACATTCATGAGCATTTCTAGGACTGTAAGGATTTGGGTCCCAATCTTTCCTAGGGTATTCGTGGAAGGGTTTTTCTCTGAAAACGAATTGCCCATGCAGAGCGACAGAGGGGGCCCAAGAACACATAGGGAAGAGAGAGGATAACTCTTCCCCTCCCAGGTGGCACTGAAATCTAGGGTTAGCACCAATGGTTCCCCCCTCCCCCCAGTTTAATTGCCAAACAAAGGTTGTGGGGGAGGGGGTCAACCTCTGCGAAACCCTTCTGTTAGTGGGTCTGGAGGGAGGGAAGCATCAACCCCCGCTTTGCTCATTACTTCCATCAGCAGGACTGCAGTTCAAAGGCTTCGGAATAAATTGGATCCAAGGCTTTCCTAGTGACATGTATCACAAGACTCTTCAACCACAAAGGGGATTTTCTGTGCCATAAACAATAGCATACTGGGCTGCATCTTTTCCTCCCATGGAATAACTGCTGCCTTCAGGAAATCCTGGATCAGTAGCCCATGATAAGCTCAGGGCTGCTGCTTGCTTCCCCAGCAATCCTTCTTGCTGGCTTGATCTAAAGCACAGATCTGCTCAATCCCCAAGTCTTCCTTTTTTCCCATTATGAAACTGAAGACAGTTACACGTGGACTTGTATTCAGGGACTGATCAACTCAGACTTGCTTCACTCTTGGTTGAATTTAAAACGGTTTGGGTTCTAGATATCCTTAATAAAATCCAGAACCCATAATTCCGCCTCCCTTCAATTTGAGCCAAAACATGCCTTCCTTAGCCTTTTTTGGGGAAAGTAGCTGAACGGAGGACAGAAAAAAGAGAATGGGAGCATCCTTCCTTCTTTTCTGCAATGCAAGCCCTTGTTTGCGTTCAGCAAACCGTGCGGCTTCACGTGCCTTCCGACCATGCCCCGGAACACACGACGCGGGCGATAGTCTGGATTAACTACTCCTCGATCAGCCCGACGTGAGTGATCGTGCCCGGGGAAGGGGCGCGTCGGCAGGCGGCGTGCTGGTGGGCCCCTCCCTCCGTCGCTCCTCGCTCGCGTGGCTGGAGGAGCGGGGCACGAAGGGTGCGCGGCCTCTTCGCCGTACTGTGCGCCGCGGCTCGCTCACCCTCCCCGGGCTGGCTGCCGGGGAAAGCGAGTGACGAGGCGTCGGGGGTTCGTGGCTGCAGACGGCTCGGGAGGCCAGGCTTAAGCGAGGCTCGGGGACGGTGAGGATCTGCCCGCGGCGCCGCACACAAAGCGCCGCCTCTCCTCGAAGTCCCGCCGGCTCCAGCAGCCGCCGCCCCCGGGAGGGAGCAGGAGGCGGCGGCCGTGCTTCTCTCCCGGCCTTTCCTCCCTTCCCTCGCCGCGTATGAGTCAGGTATTTCCCAGCCTGCCGGCAGCGGCGACCGCGTACAGCCCAGGCCGGAGCTGCCTCGACCCTCCTCTGCGAGCTCCATGGAGAAGGTAGCGGCCGCGGCGCAGAGCGGCGGCGGCGGCGGCGATGCGGTCTCAGCAGCGAACAGCAGCGGCGGCGGCAGTAACAGCAGCAGCCGAAGTAGCAGCCGCCCCACGTCGGCCGGTTCCTCGCCTTGCTCCTCTGCCAGCCAGGGGCTCCCGGGCCGGCCAGGGGGAGCGGCGGTGTCGGCGGTGGCGGTTGCCCCTACTCCTGCGGCAGCGCCGGGGAGGCCGGATGGCGGCGGCGGGAGCAGCAGCAGCCCCAGTTCGGCCGCGGCCAGTCCTGGCGGGAGCGGCGGCGTAGTAGCGGGGCTGGCGGCGGGCAGGAGAACGGGGCCGGTGCTCGAAGGGACCCTGAGCAAATACACCAACCTCCTCCAAGGCTGGCAGAGCAGGTAACGGGGGTGCGTGGCTGGCTGTGCCTTAGAAACCCTTGTTTTATTCTGGTGTCGGTTGAGGGGAAAGGACGTGGGTTCCTCTCCTCACTCTTGTTTGAGCCTATACAACTAAGTGGGGCGTCCCTGCCCTCAGTTCCCTTTAAAAAATGGACGCTTCCTTTCGTCACCTCGAAAGGTTGTGGGGCCCGTTCCACGGCAGCCACACCCGTTCCCGCCACAGAGAGATTTAACGCGCTCTCGGCCCCCTCATATTTTCTGCCCGCCCTTATTTCTAATAGGGGCGTTGCGCTCTTCCAGGCGGCCTCTTTCCTTGTCTTACACTTAGCTGGACAGTGTATGGAATCTCCTTCTGCCGATTCACTAAGTAACTGCGGGATCCCCAGCACTTTTCGGTGCATTTCGCACTCGTGGCGGCTTGTGAAGGTGTCAGGCGCTATTACTCCCAAAAAGTGTTCATAGAAAGAAACTAAGTTTCATTGACAGGATTTATCCTTTTGCTTATAGTGGTGCATCTCAGACCCCTGGATTTATTTTTTTTTGCGCGGGGGGAATCTTTACACAGCCCTGTGTAATGCATAGATTTCAAAGCACAAAACTAATCTCGCTCACACCCCAACCACCATTCATTGTTTTTTTACAATGCTTTCCACAGTCCCAATTTTTACAACCAGGAATGTTTGCAAGCCTGGCTGGAAAAACACCAGCAGCACCGCAACTGAGCATGTGCGGTTTTGCACTTTAAACTCACTTGTAGGCTGATACTATCAGGACATCTGCTGCCCTCTTCACGTGCTATCTTTTGGGTGGGCCTGGCGGTGTGAGGGGCCCTACTCTCTAGCTTTAAGGTGGAGACTTAGTTGTACCATTGTGTGTTGGGGTGATCTGAATCGAAAACACAATACAACCACAAATTCTTTCACAGGAAGAACCAACTAGCAAGAAAACCTGTGCTTGATGATTCTCTGTTCTTGGGAAGCTGTTGTAAACCCACTACTGTTTGAAACCCACTATTCTTTGATGCAAGCTGCAAGCTTAGTTGTGCATGTGGCAATAGTAGGACTAATTGCTGTTTGGTGTGAGTTTTTCCCCATAGCTACCGTGAGGCCTGATCATGGAAACTGGCCTGATTAGAACATGTATTGAATACCCACTTTAGTTATCCTCTTCTACTCATATTCTGGGTTGTTTTAAAAGATTTAGATGGAAGTGCAAAATTTACATATCAGCCATAGCTTTATCAGACCCTATCGAGATATAAGGCAGTGAGCAAGGTTTCGAGCTTTTCATCGGGGAATGGGGAAAAATTTGGGAAAATTTACAAGTTTGCTATTTTTGGTATGATAAAGATATTGCCCACCTATGGTTTTTGGAGGGTTTTTTTTAATGAGCCATCATGGCTACCAAGGGTTGTATGGGATTTGGAGAAAAAAGTGGATTCTAGCCAGTGCTTAGAGGTGAAACAGAATAGCAAACCAATTTTGAATTAACATGGGAGTAATTTGGAGTTAATCAAAACAGCTGCAATGCTCTCCTTCCCCCTTTAGGTGGCATGTTAGTTAGCTTGGATTAATTGCTGTTTTTCTCACTCATGTTAATGGGTGGAGGAAACAGTTGTTTTTCCATGTGACCACTGGAAGTTTACAGAATAGATGAAGCAAGAATTCTATTTTTAATGGTTTCAAAGTATGTAATTGGGAAGTTATTGTTCAATTATTGCAGTTAAAGAGGCACCAAGTTGTGTTATGTAGCAGGGAACATTTGGTTCCCATGTTCAGTCATACACTACCAAAAGTAACATCTTGGTAGTTTTTGTATATATTACTTGATCTAGACTTAATATTAGATGGTGGCAGCCAAAATAATGTTAACTTAATTTGTTGGGTTTGTTTCTGATAATTACTAGATGTTAGTAAAGTTTTTAATATTATGAAATAATTTTGCCATTTGGGCAAATTATAATATTTGGACAATTCCACTTGTGTGTTTCTGTGTTATAAGATCTTTGCTCAACTGGCTTTTCTCTTGGTTTTTAAATTGGCTTTATTCTGTTGTAAATATAATGGCTTTTCTATTGAGTTTTTCCTAGGCTATTGTATTTTATGATTTAAAGAGATTTTTGGCTGATGGGCAATATAGAAATATAGAGGAAATGAGTAGCAAGAGAAATTGCAGCAGTCATGCACAATATTTCCTCCATTGTCTTTTTGGAAAGAAGGGGATTTTAAATGTTTTATAGCACAATTGTTTACATGTGTACTCAGAAGTCCCCCCATATTCAGTGGAGTTTACTCTCACATTTTCCTTATTTACCCATTTCCCTTGAATAAAAACTGTTGACTACTTTCACATGTGTAGTTCATGGACATATGTATCTAAATTCTTATTTTATACTCTCTGGATAAATAGAAAAAAAGTCAATCTCCAAAGCTTTTTGTACAAATGAGACAGTATTGATTATTTTGGCTTGCATAGCTTCCAGATACATTATGAGCAATTTGCCCTTTGCAAAGTCACTTTGATTTTAGAGAGTTTGCAGGTGGAAACAGTAACTGCGAAAGAAATGAGTGTGTCATGTTTATGCAGCAATCTGTTGGGGAATGCAGTGCTGATTGCTGCTTTTTTGCAGTTCTGAAGAAAATTCAGTAAAACATAAAATATTATGTGTTCCTTTTCTTAACTGGTCAACTTGAATAACTGCTTAAGACAGCAAATTGGTAGTGAAGCTTTCTTGATTCAGGGATAAGCTTTTATTCCTCTGGCTAAGGGCTAATTTTACCAGACAAATACATTAGGAATGGTGGTTGTGGAAGCTAAGGCTGTGGCCCCATTCTGCCTCTGTCCTGTTAGTAAGGCCTGCTGTTATAATTTCTATTCCATCCCTCTTTGTTTCTTGGAATAGCAACTTGCAAGAAGAGAAGGCAATGGATTTGGAGAGTGGATTTGTTTCAGCAATTTCTAATTATCTGTCTTGATTCTAGATTATCATTATTTTCTTTACCAGCAATTTTGGTTTTGTAGGCATCTCATAAAGGTGGAAGAAAAGTATTCAACAGGTTTTGTACTATAATCTTCTTATAATAATAATAATAATAATAATAATAATAATACAGAATTTATATCCTGTATTTCTTCCTCTTGCAAGCAGCCCTGGGCAGCTTACATATACCTCTTCCACTCTATTTTATCCTTACAACAAGAGTTTTACAACCTTGGTTGGCTGAGAGTGAGTGACTGGCCCAAAGGCACCCAGTGAGCATCATGGCCAAATGGGGACAAGAAACTGGATCTCCCAGTGTAGCACTAACTACCATACCACATGAACTCACCAAAGCATAATTGTTTTGAAATAGTTAGAACTAATGACCTCAAGTTAAATGTGTGTGATTTTTAGAAAAAAAATTCACAGCATTTAATTTATTTATGTACTGCCCCACACCCAAAGCTGTGATATAGGGAGATGGAACTGTACATGCTAATCTTAACACACCGTTCAGTGCCAGGTGAAAACATTTCTCTTTTGCAGGTATTTTAATAACTTCTTCTAACTTATTTAATGCTAATGAAGTATGTGGTTGTCCTTCTAATTCTCCATATTTTACAAATGGCTACTATGATATTGTTGCTATTTTATTATGATGTTTTTACTGTTTTATTGCTTTTAAGAATTGTGTTTTTAGTTTAGTTTTAAGCTGCCTAGAGATCCCTGACAGAATAGTTGGTGGCATACAAGTGTAAAAATAAGTGTGGTTATACTATATTTTATGTAGTGCCATTATGGCCTTTGGTCTATTTTTAATCTTTTCCTTGTTAGGTTATAAATTTACATAACTATTTTTGCCTTGTTTACTGTTGAGATTCTGCAGTCTTTTTGGTAGGGCCATACAAGTTGGAATTTTTGTCATTCATTTTTGTTTAAATTTAGTTAACTTGCTTAGTTTGCGTAGCATTGTGCTTATTATGATCTACCATTTGTTGCCAACTCACAGTTTTAAAGAGATTGTTGGAGCTGTTGCATTTAGTTTTCACCTGACTATTTGGGTGTCATCTGCAGACTTGACTTGTTGTTGTTAGTCGTGAAGTCGTGTCCGACCCTTCGCGACCCCATGGACAACGTTCCTCCAGGCCCTCCTGTCCTCCACCATCTCCCGGAGTCCACCCAAGCTCAGTAAATACAGCTGGTCTGTTCTGACTTCTGATCCTTGTATGTGGCATTGTTTCCTTGTCCTTTGGGGAAAAGTCTCATCATTGCTAATGGTTAAAATATTTGAAAGCTGCTTCTAAGGGCAAAGACCTTGAGGTGATTCCTGCACTCTAGTTCCTATATGAAGCCTTTAAGGATCTGTGAGAGTGTTGATTGTGATGAGTTTCTTCATAGTCTTTTGTTTATCTGTTAAAAGTATTTGCCAAATGCTGGTACATAATGTTCAGCAGTTGCTTCCCATTATGTCCTAGGGACACTGTTAAAGAGCTTCAGCCCATTAATGAGACAACACCCTCTTGTAAAAGCTGTATTGATTATTGGCAAGGCTTGCTCTGTATTCAAGCAGCAATATATTTAACTTTGCTACATTTAAGATGCAGAAATAGTTCATCTGGACAAAGATTACAGGTTTATTTGAATTTGAAAGAGATACTTCTAGTACCTCAGCTCAGTATTTTTACTAGCATTTATGAAGAGTGACTTGTAACAACTCAAAAAACCTTGTTGAGAATTGGTTACTATACTGTTTATTCTGTTAAATCTAGATTGTACCGCTTCAGATCTGGTTAACCTGTGGGCTACATACAGCTTAAAAGGCCTTTCATGAGTCTTCCAAGCAGTTGTTAGAACTCCAGTTTTCTTGGGGGAGGTTACAGAAAGAAAAGTTCAATCAGTTTATCATTTTCTGTGGCTAAATAACTTAGGTCTTTCCTTTTCCCTTCCCTCCCAAATCCTGAGCAGGTAGTTATCCTTTGAATGATCAAGTTCTCATAGTGGGTGAATATGACATGGTTTG